TAGGGAAATGGCCATTTTAAGGTGACAAAACCGACAAAAATCTGCATGCAATAGATGGCATTAAGAAGGAGGGATATAAAAACATCTCACTTCATTCCAAATTTATAACAGAGACATGTATTGTGTAAAAAAGATGTGTTCTACTGCATCGTAAAAAGAAGAGTCCTTAATTTAAAAATCATAATATGGCATGAAAATAAGATTGCATAAATCCAAAGGATTATTTTAATGTTAACAAGATTCAGATAAATGAGTTCCATCATATACAGATGAAAACATGCCACTTTAATACATAACATGACTGAAGAACACTATTAATAATGTCAAATAAGCTTCAATCTGATGAACAATTATTAGATATGCTCTATTTGGGAAAAAGACTCCTTACTGAATGTGTTGAATACTTACGAATCCACGTGATTCTCAAATGAAAGGAGAATTGGAAAAGGTGAAGTCTTAAATGCGCACTCCGCAATTGCTTCTATGACTTCCTAAAAATGAGAACACGTATATATTCAACATTCTAGAATTTTTAACGTTTCATTTTTACAATTCTTCTTTGATTTAAACCCATGACTATGGTTGTCTTCTTCATTCATAGGATGATATCAAATTGCATGAAATGGCTAGAAGGGATTATGAGTGTGCTGGTCTGTAAAAATCTCTGACTCTTGACTCTGCAAGGTAAAAAGAAAGAAAACTGGAGGAAGACACAACAGTGAAGGAGAATAATTCTTCTATTTGTTGATTATATCTCCTTTTCTAGAATGAAAGACATCTAATCACATTATCAAAACTTTGGGGCAATATAAAATGTGAGAGTTTTCACCCCCAAATTCACTTTTTGAATCAAACCACTATTAGTATTTACTTACATTTACTTCTAGTCTGTTTTACATGTAACTGAGGTTTAACTAACATATATATTCAATTTGTATTTTGAGTAACATTGCTATCGAGGTATAACTTTATTGAGATATAATTCATTCATTTAAAATGTACAATTCAATGTTTTTATATATTCACATACAGCTCAATCTGTCAGTACACTTTAATCGTCCACCAAAAAAAAAAAAAAAAAAGAGAGAGAGAGATTTCTACACCCCACCCCACACACTTAGTCTTAGGCAGCTATGAATCTACTTAATACTCCATAGATTTGCCTATTCCAGACATTTCATATCAATGGAATCATATAACTTGTGGCTTTTGTGTCTGGCATCTTTTACTTAGCATGCTTTCGAAGTGCATGTAAACATTTATCAGCATTTCATTCCTTGATCTATTGGGTCATTGGGAAAGTCATTTTTTTCTAGTTTTTCTATGCAAAAATGTGTGAGGACTTTTCTGATGACCCAGTATAATCTTAAGAACTGTATAAGTCACAGTTTCAAAAGCTCTGGTTAAGGTGCTGGACACTCCCACATGGCTGACCAGGGTTTGAGTCCTGAACCTGGTGGCTTGCTTTCTCACTTCCTCTCTCTCTCACTCTCACCCTCTGTCTCTCTCTGATCGAATTAAAAAATCAACGAATGAATAAATAAAAAATAAGTAGTTATTTTAAAAAAAACTCTACAAAGTATTATAACTGATGTAACCATTTGCCATTGTTGGACAGGTATAATTTAAAAGTTGGCATTCAAATAATTCTACAATGAACATCTTCAATTTTTTCCTGGTATTTTGAACTATTTTCTAGAAATGCATCCTCAGAAGGGGAATTATTGAATTAAAGAATATAAATACTTTTATAGTTTCCCATGTATTTCTAAATTACTTTTCATTTAAAATTGCCTAGAGTAAAGGACCAGATTTCAATGCAGCTTCAGGCATTATTTTTTCAAAATATCTTTTTTATTTAACTTGCATTATAGTGAGATTTCATTTATTGTTTATATCACCATCAATACAAGGGGTCTTCAAAGCTTATGGAAAATGCATACTATAAAAAAAAAAAAACTATGCACGGATATCGAAATTTTTTTTCACCAAAATAAACTCATAGTTTAATTCCATTTCCCCACAAACCTTTTGAAGTACTCTTATACTACCAAGGTTTTATATTCATGCATTTGTTTTTCAGTTGTATTTATTCTTTTCACATTCCCCTTTCAAGTAGAAATTTTCACTCCCATTCTTTATGCCTAAGCCTTTCCCACAAGTTTCTCTATCTTCCCTATACAATGCATAGCTTTTATTATATTTGTGCCATTAAGCTATTTATCTTGCCTCAAAGTATAAATAAGGCTTTCTAATTCTAAACTGCATTTGCATACATCCACTAAGAAGGATTTGCCTGCACGGAGCAAGAAGAATCACTTGCATTGTTTCTTAGAAGTGAATTCACAGATTGCTTTTCATGCATAATCAGTTTAACCTTTATTATAGTTGAGTTCATCAAAAATAAGTGCACTGTAAAAAGCAGGTGACACAAAGATTTTAAATTTTGTATTTCATCTGAGCAAAGGCTGTGGATTCAGACAGATCTATGCTTGATTCCCACTTCTTAAATTTACAAGTTCCCAAGAAATTACCTATTGTGTCTGTGCGTTGGCTTGCAGTTCTGTACGGGGGGAGGGGGAGAGGGATAAATCTTGCTCCACAGATGTGAAGATACAGTGAGAGAAAATAAAAGACCCAGCTCATATCAAACATATATTCTCAAATCAAATAAGGTGATTTATTTTGCTGATGCCTCACTCTCCACTCACCCTAAACCTTTCTTCTTAGACTCTTTATAATGAAAATGAGAACTACCCTTTATTTTATTCCAGACATGTCTTATCTCATGCTACAACCATTCCATAAGGAAATGATTAGCCTCCACTGTAAAGGTTATAAAACCAAGGCTCAGGGGCCAGCAGATGGCATAGCAGCTACATTGCTGGACTCCCACATGGGTGACAGTGGTTTGAGTCTCAGACTTGGTGGCTTGAAACTCACATTGGATGTGTGTGCATTCATGCCCAAGATCCCAGAAACAGAATGAAGGAAAAAGGATTGAGGAATGGCCATCTCCTAGAAGTGTGTGTGTGTGTGTGTGTGTGTGTGTGTGTGTGTAGGTGATTTTTTACTTTCCCTCTCACTATTTCTGTCTCTCTCTCCAGCAAGCATATGCACTCTAAGGCAAAAACCTATTAAAAAAAAACCCTCCAAAAACAAAAGCTAAGACTGAGAGGTATTAACTGATTTACCCTAAGACACAGAAGAATCTAAGATTAAACCTCAGTTTCTAGAGATTTATATTTCCAACCATTGTGGTTACTCTCATGCACCTAATGCCTTTAGTAGTTAGGAATAAAGCACTTAAAATAACTGAATTTAGATGTCATCAACGAAATGGGTAGTAAGTATTGAGGTGGGGAGGGGGAAGCAGGCTGGATTTTTTTCTATTTCATAAATTTGGTCCTAGTGTATTAGCTAATGAACAAATATAAGGATTCTTGCCTCATTGCTTTCTCTCATACCTTTCAATTTATCAACAATCCTATTCAAAATATATCCAGAATACACCCACCTCAGTACCTCCACTGCTATCACCCTGATCCCAAAAGTGGTGCCCTAATTGCAGTGGTTGATTTTTCTATTGTTCCCATCCATTCACATTCCCTTCCTGAGGGAGGATTCTATCTCCACACTCTGCTGACCATTGGCTTGGACTCATGTTTTGATTTGGCAATGGCCAGTGTATGCAAATGCCACGCATGGCTGCTAGACGGTCTTCGAGACCCATCCTGTGGTTCTGCCCTTTCTCCTCTCCTCTGCTATGAGCCCAGTTATATCACAGATGAAAGTTGTTCTTTCTAGGTGGAGACCAAACAATATTGATCAGAACAATAGTCAACATCTAATCTGGGTGAAGGATTAAGCCATCATGGTTGTAAGTCACTGTGATTCTGCAGTTTCTTATTATTGCAGCAAAACCATCAAAAGCTGCCTAGTTGAGCCTTTTAACTGCTTTCCTGGTTTCTGTGGCATGCTCTCTCTATTCTACACCATACCCAGATAGACTGCTCCTAACATGAATAGATAGTTACATGCTTTTCTTTTTATAAACTGTTCAATGGCCTCCCACAAAATAAACTACTTTAATTCCATCTTCCATGAACGTATTTAAGTCTGCTCCTCCAATGTAGCTCAAAAACAGTCACGGGGGCCAGCAGGTGGTATGGTGGTTAAGGTATTGGACTCCACATGGCTAACTATGGTTAGAATCCTGAACCTGGTGGCTTTGCTTTCTCACTTCCCTTCTCTCTCTTTCCAGCTCTCTCTGGTGAATGCATATACCCTATAGCAAATTTAATAATAATAATAAAATTAAAATAATTATTTAAAAAAGCAGAGCTTTTTTTTGTCAGAGCTGCATCCTTAACTTTTGTATTCTTTCTCTCTTTCCCACCAGCTTCCTCCCATCTCTGTCTCTCTCCACCTCTGCTATAGCTTTAGCCCAGCTTACAAAGTATTTTTCAAACCTTTTAAACCAAAGAAAACATTGACTGAATTTCATCTAATAATTCTAGTTGGGAGCAAGTGAGAACTCCACAAGTTCCACTAGAGGACTTTTGTGCCTTTAAAAGGTTTTGTGTGGCACACGCGATCATTCAGGATGAGAAAACTGGTTATAGCTTTTCAGTTTCATGCTTTCCTATATGTTATCATTACTGGACATTGGCTGTGAAAGTACCTTACTGCTCAATTGTTCCTTATCAAACCAAAGTCATTTTTTAGAGCTTTCTAACACTGGGTTCAATAATGTATAGGCCATATAGTTCAAATATCAACCTTGATAGGGAAAAACTGTCCTTAAAGTCCTTTATTCTTGACAGATAATGGCAGGGAGCATTTGGATAACCATTTTATGTGTGCATTTATAGAGCAGGGAAATTACACTCTAAATTATTATCGTTTCTTTCAGGGAATTAAGCCTTATTTCCATAAATGCTCGATTTAACAACATACTCAAATTTAACACATTTTCATCATATATTTTAGCACATTGCTCATGTTTGGCATGTACCGACGCTGGTTAAAGCCTGAGGCAGCAAAAGCATCAACTTGGAGGAGGAGTTGCAGGGAGGTGTGTCCAGTGTGAAGGAAGGAGATTGAGGGGGAGCAGAGAGATGGCGACCACATGGTGAATGGTTACATCGCAGCCTTTGGCAGAGCAAGGGTAATGAGGCATTGGGACTAAAGAGCAGATATATGAGAAATCATAAATATAGCCAGGCCACAACATCTCAAAGCCCTCCATAAACAGGCTGAATTACCACATGTCCCCTTTCCCAGAACACAAGTTTTTATTTTGGTCCATACATTAAATAGCAGGCAAATGCCAATAAGGATTCTTGCTTTTGGGGTTATGTTGCATAGAACCTTTCCAGAATACAGATAGCGAACACAGATAAACTGTGGGGCATAAAAATGGAGAGCTTAGCAATCAGTTTATTTTGCTGCTGTAGTATGCACTGTGCTATTGAATATAGCCTATATA